ACACGAGCTGTGCTTTGCATGGCAGGAGCATCCTGGCCATGGTTGCTCCTTGGGTGGGCTGTCCAGATACCACATGTTGTTCCTTCAGATCCTCCACTGACACGTGCTGCTCAGAACTGTCAGTTCTGTTTAGTTGTCAGTTTTTGATGAATAATCACCTGAATGGGTGATTCCCAGCTGCCAGCCCTGGAGCTCAGGAGCTCCCACACTGGCAGAGGATGTGGGATGTACAAGAGGAATGGTTGGCCTCCTATGCTGCTTCCTCATGAAGTCCATCAGTGCCTTGAGACAAAAACTTGCTGAGGGACAAGAGCTGAAAGTCACCTACCTGGGCTCCCATAGCTTCCCCATTCCTATCCAGAATTAATAGAGAGAAAATTTCCCTAGAGAACATCAGTGTGGGCCAGAGAGCATTAAAATGGAACTTTCAGCCAACTAATAGCTGTAATTACAGCCCATCCTCTCCTATGTGGTGCTGACTTCCCCATGTAATTTACTTTTAATTTTCTCTTAATAGGTACACGTGAGAGATGAGTGGTTCAATGCGCTTCTCATGCTTAATGTGAGGTTGGCTTCATGTTAAAGAAACCTCATGGACATGTGGCCATGCTTCATCCATCCAGGCAGCCCAATCTGTGGTGGGGAAATGCAGCCCTTCAAAGCATACACGTGTTGTAGGCACCAGTGCTGCTTCTTAGCTCTTCAGAGGATGGAAAAGGCTTACTGGAAGAGGGAAAAATGCCCTGGTTGGATGGCAAAAGTAGAGCAGACAGTAGGGCCAGCTGCTGGCTTGCAACAGAGATGTGCTTTTCCTCCTCCTCCTCCCAGTCTGCCCTGGGTGTTGGAGCATCCTTCATCCTCATTTACTTCCCTGGATCCAAAATACAAAGGTGGCATCATTTTCACCATCCAGAAGAGTCCTTTCAGGCCAGCTCTGACACAGAAAGGAGTGCAGTCTTGCCCAGCCATGCTGTGCTGTACCAGTTCCAAGGGATAGAGGCGGGAAAAGGCAGAATTGGAGGTTTTCATAAGCATTAAATTAAAACAGTGCATAGAGTCTGTTTTGGTTCCTGGGCATGAATGTCATATCAATGCTCCACTCTGCCTGCTGCCTGATAACAGCAGTACCCACTGGGTAGGCTCAGCCTTTGGTGCGATATGCAACAAATAAAAAACAGGAGCCCGGTAAATGCAATTTCAGGTGCCTCAGCCTCTCTAGTCACTCTGGCTCTCTGGCTGCCATGCAATTAGTTCTGTAGAAGGATGCCTCCAAAATGTCTAATTGAGCTGCATTTCTATGGGAGTTGCAGGTGGTTGGAGCTGAGAGCTCTGATTGCTGTGCACCCAGCAGGTCCGCACATACTTTGGGATGGGTCCTGCAGCTTGGCTGTCTTGGACGTGACAGAAAGACCTAGATCAGGGCTGCAGAAATGCACCAGGAAGCCAGGAAAGGGAGGTGAAGAACATTTCTGGGGACATCCGTTTGGGGCAGATGAGTGAGGCTATGCAGATGGTGTCTCCCCATTGACTATCTGCATGCTCAGCCCCATGGAGTTGTGAGTCCTGAGCCCAACAGGAGCAGGGAAGCACAGGTTGGATGCAGCCCCTTCTCCTGAGTAAGATGCAGAGCTCAGTGAACCACCTGAAGCTTCCTCTACCCTGGCACCCTGCACAGAGCATCCCCCTCAACGCACTTGTGAAGTAATTAGATAACTGCTGCGAACAAGTATGTGTGCTTAATAAGCATGCTAATTGGTATTGACCAATGTGTGGCATGTTCTTTGTCAAGTGCCAATTAGAAGTGCCTAAGAAGTGCTGGAGAAGCGAGTGGACGGTGATTAGATCTCAGATAGGTATGTATGCACTGCTAGAGAACCAGAAGGAGAATCACCTGGCAGAGCAGCCAGAAACCCTATTCCCACCCAAAAACAGGAGCAGGCACCATGCAGCTCATAACCTGCTGCCCATGTTTGCAGGTGTTCAGCTGCAGGGTGTCCTGCTCCTCAAATCTGATTCTTGCTGTGTGCCTGTAGCAGTCTCCCTGGATATTCTCACTCGCCTGGATTGCTTTATTTATTGCCATCATTAATTAATTTTATTTTGGGCAGGAAGGACAAATCCTCTGAGACCGTCTGCGTGCTAGAGACCATTACTGCATTGGTGTCTGAAAGCTTCGGTGCACAAAAACCCCTGGCTCTGTCAGCCCTGCACAATTAATTAACCTGCACCGCTTGGAACTGCAGGGCGGACTGTCTGGATCCCACTTAGGGCTGGCTCTTGTCCCTGTGCCCTGGGGTACAAGGACAAAAAGCTGTACCAGATGCACTGTCTTCCCAAAATGGGCACCATGGGGATGGTGTGAAGACGTGTGCTACTCCTGTGCAAGTCCTTGAGGTAGACCTGAGGCTGAATTGGGTCTCTGCTGCCTTTCTTTAGTGCAGTAGTGCCGCATTACCACAGCTCTGCAGCATCTCCAGTGATGGTGACTCCTCCATCCAACCTGAATGTTGCCCTGGTGCTGTGAGGCCACTCAATGGGTTTGCAGCCAATTCAGGTCAACTTCAGGTGTGTGCTTCCTCGCTCCCCACCCATTGCTTGAGGTACGTGGTGCCCTAGAGCATCACTTATCTCTGTGATTGCTGCCTTTCTCCCTGGGATATGCAGCAAGAGAGGACAGAAGCCCCAACAAATGAGACAGAGCAGTTTATCTGACCCCAGATGAAAGAACAAACAAAGTTTGTCTTGTGGTCAGGGTGACACTTTGCCACAAAAGGAGAGCAGGGAGAAGTTAATTAAACTTTAAAGAAGCCATTTATTAGGGGAGGAAAGTAAGGCATGCTTTTTCTCTAATACTGGAGTAAAGCTCATTACAGAGGGAAACCGTTCTTCAGCAGTTAATAAACTTACCTTCCTCCACCTAGCTTTGAGGAATGGTTAATGGAGTGTCCATAGCTCATTTTAATGTGCAGTTTTTCAAGATACCCACGGCCCATTGGCTGCAAGAGTTTAGAAAACAGCTGTCTGAAAATGAGGGAGATCCCACATGCACTCCCCATGGAGGATGCTGCCTGAAGAGGAGGCTCACATGCTTGCTGACACCCTGTGCATCCATCTGGCTGCATCCCCCCAGACTGGGAGAGCAGAGTGATGGCCCGATGCCTGAATGGCTCTGCAGCTTGTGTGCTGCCCCAGCCTTGTGCTACCCAGGTGCTCATCTGTCACTGAAATCCTTTTTCAACCAGTGGAAGCCCAGGGGACTCTGCGCTGGCACCTTGCTGCTTGCCACCTTGGGAAGGGACCTGGATGCTGGTCTGGGATAAAAAATGAAATAACAGCATTTGCTGGCAATGCTGAGTTAATACCAAAAAGATGAAAATACAGCCAGCCTCCAAGAATAGGAAGAGGACCTTATGATACTTAGTGAGCGGATAATAAAACGGCAGATGAAATTCAAGGCTGCTAAATGAAAAACAATGCACAGGGGAAAAATCAGTCTAACTTTGCACATAGAGCGATGGGCTCTGAACTAGATGTTACTGCTTGGAGAGAGAGAGCTGAGAGTCATGCTACAGACATCTATCACAGTGACAGTTCACACTCCACGGTCGTCAAAAGCCCTGCAAAAAGATGATGGGAGTTACAGGGAGCTAAGGGAGGGTGAAATGGGGAATGTTGCTCTGCTGCCTAATGAGTGGCTGGTGTACCCCTCCTTGAGCAATCTGTGAGCAGCTCTGGACCTCCTATCCTCAGGAATGGAGGGGAGAAGCTGAGAAAATTATCCACTGCAGACAGAGATTGATGGAGGCAGGGATGGATATGAAATCACATAGAGTACCATGGAGCTGAAGAACTGGCGCTGATTGCTTGGCTGAAGTACTGGGCATAAGGACCATCAGAGAAGCTACCAAGAGCCAAGAGAAGCGGAGACTTTCTCCAATGCAGTTCAGCTCTGAGCTGGGAGGAGGCACGTCAGAGCCCAGCCACATCCAGCTGCCAGAAATACCTGTGCGATGGCCCCTTTATGGCTGGGCAGACAGGCAGAAATTCACTGCCACCACTTACCCAAGAATAATGAAACATTTCCTGAGACAGCAATAAATCTCCTGCCATGACAACACTTACAGTGCCTCTTCGATCCTGGAGAAAGGTTTTAAAACTCAGCAAAGTGGGAGTTTTTAGTGCCTCCGTGCTTGCTTCCAGCCATAATAGCAAGTTTGGGAGTGAGCAGTGCTGCATGGTCCAAAGATGGGACTGAGGTTTGAAGGCAGGACAGCTCCATGATTATGAGCACAAATCAAAGCCCTAGGCTTGAAAATCTCCTGTGTGAGGGGCTGCAATGGGCACAGGTCATCCCACTGAAGCCTGAATAATGGGGATCCAAAAAGCCATTGCTTACTGATGCTGAGCAGTATTGAGCTGGGAAGATGGCCAGAAGAGAAACCCAGTCAAAGCCAGAGAAATTCTACCACCTCTTTAGTCAGGGATAGCTATTCTGAAAAGAAGTGCTCTTTGCAGTCCTGGCCATAGAGGGAAAAGGAGGGGTTTGGCAGAGGAAGAAAGCTGATGCTGGAAAAAGGCATGGGGAAGTGATAGGTCTTTAAAACCCAACCAGCGACCAATGTGGTCAACTTAAAAGATATCAGCAGAAACAAAGTGGGTTTCAATCTCTAGCTGCTTGGGAATGCCTGAATGGGAAGATGAAACTGGAGGTAATGGTTTGCTTGTGCAAGGGTCACGGAAGTGCTGGAAGCATGGCAGAGGGCTGCTCAAACAGCTGGCTGATGAATAGCAGAGCATCACAACACATTGATGCCCAGCAGAGCCTAGACCATAACATTTCCGTCCCTGTTTCTACCCTCCCTCCCTTCTTCCCTTTCTCTTTCCCTTCTTCCCCAGACACCCTAACAGCTATGGGCAGCAAAAGAAGGTGGGTGGGTGGGTGCAAGGGTGGAGAAGGAGACATCAGATGGCAGCAATCAACAGAAAAGATCAACTTAATGTGATCAGCCCTCATGTTGTTCTTATTATCAGCATCTTGGGAGTGTGCTTGATCTAATTAAATCCTTTAGTCTCTAAAGGACCCAGCTGAGGTCTGCATCCCATCAGCAGCTGCTGGCAGCATTGCTTTCAGGTTGGGGCAGGCAGAGAAACATGAAGTTTCACATCATTGCTTTTATCCAGGTATATTTCTATCAACTTTTTTTTTTTAACTTGCTTGGCTCCTCTTGGGTGGAGAGCAAAGAGTTGGTCAATAACTCAGGAGTGAGGGCTCCGAGTATTGTCATACCACCATTTTGTTTGTTTTGCAACACTGTTCTGTCCAGGTTATAGAGGAGGGAATGGTTATTTCTAGAAGAGGTCTTAATCCCACTTTGGAAAGAGTGTCCTCTTTTGCAAGACACCGTCATCTTTCCAAACCCTCATGTGTTTTGAAGGCATCCGAACACAATGGATTCCTGCTGGCTAGAGATAAGCAGGGTCTCCCTGCTGCTGCACAGCCATGTATTCACTGGCTTGCGGGGAAAGCATTTCCTTCAGTTTCCACCTTGGCTTGCTAGGTCTTTAAAGCAAAGCAGGAAGAAAGGAAGAGCTCAATTTATGCTTTTGGTATCACTCAGCAGTTTATATGCTTTTGGTAAAGCTGTGATTGTTATCAAGGCTATCGAAATCTCCAGAGTCTGAAAATCAAGGTGAAAGCTCACTTTCATGGATTATTTCCAGTCACTTTTCTTCTGCCTCTGCTAAAAATAACACAGGAATGGCTTTCTTAGAGCTTTCCTATTCCCTTCTGGCTAGAACAGAGAAGGTCAGGAGCCTGAAAGTGAAGAAATAGTGGGGGGAAGGAGTTATAGTGACTGGATGAAATTGCTTGCTGTTTTCCCTCTGATCTGAATGTGGTTAACTTTCCACTGCCTCCCTGCAGCTCATTCCTATTCCTAAGGCTCTTTGTTTTCCAGGCTCAGTGCACAGAACATCTTGGGTGTTATTTCTAATGCTAACTGAAGGCACTGAGCTGTCCTGCAGTGCAAACTTCAGCCAATGCGACAGCAAAAGTTGGATGTTTCAGTCCTTCTGGAGCAGAAAGCTCACATTTTTATCCATTTCCTTATGAAAGATCATTAGAAACACACCTAAAGCTAGAAGTGGTTTTGCCAACACTTGACCCTCTATTCTCTAGTTCCCTGATCCAAGACCTCAGGGCAACATGAAGTCATGGCCTTGGTGCTGGAATACATCTGATTCATGGTGAGACTTGCAAGTATTAGCCATTGCATAGATTCACTGGGTCATAGTGTCATATAGGTTGGAAGAGACCTCTCAGATAGTCAAGTCCAACCACTAGCCCATCCCCACCTGCCTGCTGGGCTATGTCTCTGAGAGTCAGGTTGCTTCTAGCTCTTTTGGCATTGTAAAGCTCTTGATGTTCTCTGGCTTGCTAAGCTTACACAGGTATTTTGTAAGAAAAATAGAAGCTTTTTTTTGGATGCCGTATTGCATTTCTTGTGTTACAATAGCTTTTCCTTGCTGTAGCCATGGGTTTTGTTAATTACTGGCTTGGTGTCTAAATTTGACTCTGAATTGTTGTATCTTCATTGTCTGAAGTGTTTCCACATGATCTAACATGAGATAACTGTTCCACATGAGATAACCAGCTGTTATCTCAAAGTGCATGTATAGTCAGGAGAGAACTCATTTAGGGCACAGGGAAACGGCAAAATAATAGTTTCTTCCCAGAGAAAAAAAAAAAAAAAAAAAAGGAAAAAAAGGGAAAAAAAAAAGCGTTGTGCTAACCACAAGTGGGAAGGCATTGCTGATGAATAAATACAGATTTTACCCTACTACAGAACCAAGTCAACTTTAAGATTTTCAGTTATTTTTTCAAGCAAGGGGGTAATGCTGTTTGTCTCAGCTGTTCGTTAGTGGTATTAATAATGATTGATCATCTTGTGTCCTTTCCTATCTATAAACTTGCATGACTTTCAACATCTTTCCTTAAAAAGTGACGTCTCACCCGGTATGACTCAGGGGAAAGGGTGTTTCTGCACCAGGGATGGCTGCTCTTGGCCTCCGGCATCCCAAGGGCTCAGCTCCATGTTGTGCAATCCCCACAGCTTGCAGTGTGAGCCCTGACCCCATACAGGATTGCCAGCCCAAAGATGTTAGAAGTGCCTGTGGGCTTTCTGCCATCTAAACGACCACTTGGAAGCAGTGTCAGGTGCCAGGGATGGTGGCCAGACAGGGCAGCTCCACGGCTGTGTTAGCTGTCTCCTCCTGGGTCGCTTAAGGAATTAATAATGCAGTTATTGAAATGCATCGTAGATTCCTTTGCTATGATTTGAGCTGTACCCACGCAGTATTTCCAAAGAAGGGAGCCAGACAGGCACCTGCAGAAGACATGGGCAGTGGTGGAATGAACGGGTGGACCATGTTCCTCTGTTCCCTGATATTTATAGAAGCTTAGGACAGGGAGAAGTTATGTCTGAGAGCCCTTGGGCAGCATTCAGAGCAGCATTGATCAGACCTTGTCTGGCCCTGATAGTGATGGGGCTCCTCCACTTTGGGTTGGGTTGCAATGAGATATAAGCTTAGGGTGTACAGAGAGGACATAAGGAAGGCACTGAAATAAGCAGTGTTGTCTTAAGCTACTGTGATTTGGATCACGCTTAGAGCAAGAAAAATATTGTTGCAATGGGTTTTTGATGTCATCCTGGTGTGAAGGATGGTCCCATCATGGCAAGCCACCTGGGCAGCCTGGCTCCTTCTCTTCTCTGTAACAGCATGCTGTAGATGTATTGTGAACCCAGGGCCCAGTTCACATTTACATGCTTAAATCTCAAGCGTGTAAAGCAATCCATAGATGTCAATGGGATCATCATAGGCTGGGAATTAACGATGGCCTTAAGTGGGTTTTCAGCCTGAGATCCATTCATCACTGCTAAGTGGTCACCAAGCAGTTCGTGTGCACTCCGTGAGCCCAGCCCTGCTCAAGTGGTCACTCCAACTGCTTATTATTCCTCCTCTCTCGCCTGTGACTGATCACCCAGATTATCCCCTGTTGTTTCTGGACTCTGATTAGATTCCTGCAATTTTTGAGGAAGTGGGATAATAAATAACAAGCCATGAGGAGTGAATATCAAGTGCCTCTGTTTGTGCGAAAGGACTCTTTTTTTTTTTTTTTCCTTTTTTTTTTTTTCCTTTTTTTTTTTTTTTTTGGCATGTGGAAATGAGGATTTGTCCACTGTCCCTCCCCCCAGCCCCACGTTTTTATGAGTTTAGGTGCATTTCCCTCTGCAGCAGCCCAGCTCTTGCAGAATCAAGTGCAGCCTGCGTTAGCCAGGAGGACTGGCAGCGTTTGACCCACTCCAAATCCTTTGAGAAAGCTTTAAGAGAAGGGAAAAACAAAGTACAAAAATGACAAACTGATCTTTTTTGTTCCAGAAACTTTCTGCTACCAATTAAACACAGAATTGAATATGGCCAGCCAGGTAGAAAAATGAAATAAGGAGCAGGTCTGCTTGATGTTGCTGCTTTCTTCTGCATTTTTCTTGCGGTGCAGGCGGGCTGCCAGCACTGATGTGTTGCTGGCTGTGTCAGCAAGGGTCAGGAATGCTTTTTTTCAGCTGGAGCTCTCTGCTTCCGTCAGCCACTCGGCCACAGTCACCTCCCTGTGTCACCTCTCTTCAATGTCCTTTGAAGGCCGAGCATCACCTTCTCAAAAGCAAGCGCAAAGTGAGGTCTGCTCCGCAGCTCTGCTGGAACTGACAGGAACACAAATCCCCTTCACTTCCCACCACAAATCCTTTCTCTGCATGCACGGGAAAGGCATTTTCCCTTCAATTTTCCTTCTCTAAGCCAGGAGGAGTGTGGCCATGTGGCCATCTGCGGCCATCAGGGTTGGGATCCCCATCCCATTCAGGTTTTGGTCTGGCTGTGGGCAGAGGTGCCACATGAAAGCAGTTTTGCAGGGCTAAAGGCTGTGCAATCATTGCAAGGGCAAAACTGGAGGTGGTGGCATTGCTCCCTGAAAGCCAAACCCCATCTCCTGTCTGTGCCCTACCAGCAGTGAGTTACAGCGCTGGTGTGATGCTTCTTGGTGCTCCTTCACTCAAGACTCTGGGTCTGTGCTTGGTTCTGCCCCTTGAGCCCCATTTTGGGTGTTCTACAAAGTTCTGCTCTGCACTGAAGAAGGACACCAGAACTCTGCACCTGGGGAGGGGCTCTTCCTGGGAGCATGGGTGTCTGTGTGCAAGGAGAGGAGACGGTCTGGTTCCAGCAAGGAAATCAATATTGAATGCGTGCTGTCTTCCTTTTTTTGGTCCATGGCCAAGAAACAAGAGACAGATCACTTTTTTTAAGGGCAAAGAAGGCAACGTAGAAGTAATATTGGCTACTGCCGGTGTTAGAGAGAGCTGTCCCTTGGAGATGCTGGCTCAGATGGTGCTTTCTCCCTATCCACAGATGAGAACAACTTCAGAACTTAAGCCCAACACATAATGTCAGAGAGGGAAATGTTTAATTGTCCTGGCTCTGCTGCAGGCTGATAAGCCCACATTGATTTTCTGTAGTGAAGTCTCCAGAGTGTACGTGTTGCTGTGTGTGCATGTGCATGCGCAAATATCTCCTGCTCCCTTGGTATTCCTGATCTCCCCATTGCATGGTGAGAGCTTGATGCTTTCTCGAGAAAGAGGCCATTTGCTGTGCAATTATGGGTGGTTTTACTTGCTGCTTTGTTTTCTCTCCTTTTCCCCCCTTTCCACCCTTTCCACTTTCTGCACCAATCTGGGGAGGGCTCTCAGGGCAGGTGGCCCTTCAGCAGCACGTGTCCCTCAGCATGAGGTGCACTGTGGAGGTCACACACTCTCCAGTCCAGGCCATCAATCCCTATTTCTGCTCAGAAATGCAAACAGATGAAACAATGCCAGAAAACCTCAGGTCCCAGTTGAGTTGTTCTCAATGGCTTGAGCAATTTTGCACTGGAAAAGGATAGAAAAAATGTTTGGTTAACTTTTTATCTATTTATTTTGAGGGTTTATTGGAAAGAAACTCAGCAATAAGAGGTGCTCCAGCAAGCTTTATAGCTCATCTCTGAAACCTACGAGCTCTGGAAATTTAGGATATCTAGCTGGAAGCTGGCTGCTTATCTCACATGAGCCTCCCAACCCAATGAGGTGTTCCCAGTGTTAATTATGAAGCACCAGTCTGTATGCAGTGATGGAGAAATGTCCAGAGGAGCTGAAGAGAGGATGAGCAGTGTTCTGGTGGAAAAAAATAAATAGGGAAACTCTGACCTCCCTGGAGATGTAATAGGCTTAGCGGGCCCGCCTGACACATGTCGGATAAAATAAAATAAACAAGTAACCCCCCCAACGCCGTTTGTAAGGAGATTAGCGCAAACACAGTGAAATTTCTCCAGGGACCGTGTGTGGCTGAGGCTGGAGCCTGCAGCTCGCCGGTCCTTATCGGGTCTGTGCATTCCCATCGTCCCCCCAGGGCTGTGCTAGGGACACATCTGTGGGGCTACTCTGTGGTCACTGTGTGGCGGTCCACATCCCCTCGCCAGTAGCTCGCCCACTGGAAGTAATGTGACATGACGGTCTCATTTGCCATCTTCCCCTCTGGGAAGAGGACCCGTCCCTGGGCTGTGGATTATCCTCTGGCTTATTACAACATTGTTCTGAAACAAATCCCACGAGCTTCTGCCTCTGATTGCTTTTCCATATGTATAGGAGATCATCTGGTTGTGCCAAGTGGGTTACGTCCAATGCAGATCCTCAGCCAAGCTTGAAGTGATGGCATCAAGTGGGGAGCAAGGATGGAAGAAGCCCCCTCATACTTCAGTGATTTTGAAAGGCTGTGGATGTGTTTGGTTTGTTTTAATAGAGAAGTCTTAGGTTCAAATATCATATGGAGGAGATAAGTGGATGCACACTCTTTTGCAACGCTGAAAACAGGGTGAGTCTACAATAAAGGCACTGAGGCACTGCACAGGCTGCCCAGAGAGGTGATGGTGCCCCTGCCCTGATGGCACCCAAGGTCAGGCTGGATGGGGCTCTGAGCTCCTGATGGGGCTGTAGGGGTACCTGTACACTGCAGGGGAGTTGGACCAGATGGTCTTTAAGGGTCCTTTCCAACTCTAATGATTCTATGATTTTATGGTGATTTTATGATATCCAGTCTGTAACTGGGGACATTTGGTGACATCTCTGGGAGTGCTCCTCAAGGGGGGCTCATGGGACAGGTGGAGGGACATGGCTGTCGGTTGTCTTGGAGGTCTGTGGTAGTGTTTGTGAGGTTTCTGATGAGCAGCCTGGGATATCTGGGGTATTTGTGGTGTGTTTGGAAAGAACACTTGTGGTACTGGGAAAGCTCAGGTGAATTTTGTGATATTTTAGTATTCAAGTCCAGAAGAGAATCCGGAGAAAAGCAGGTGGGCTGCTTGTCCCTGTTACAAAGGGACACACTGCCATCAATAACTCTCTAACAAGAGCCTTGGGGCTGGGCTCCATTTCTGCAGAGCGGGTTTTTGTTTAATAAAAAATGCCATGCATACAAATGAAAAGATACACTGCGTTCACTTCTCCTACCTGACATTTATGATTGCTTCACCTGCCTTGAAATAGGAGCATTTACTTGGCCAAAAGAGATTACAAGGACCCACCTCAGTGTGATTTCCAAGTAACTACAGGGAGGACAGGACCACCTTGCTGGGATGAACACTTATTGCCACCAGAAACCTATGTTTCCAAAGGGAGTTAGATGAAGAATCATCATAGGATCATCAGAGTTGCAAGGGACCCTTAAAGGCCATCTGGTCCAACTCCCCTGCGATGAACAGGAACACCTACAGCTCCATCAGGAGCTTAGAGCCTTGTCCAGCCTGACCTTGTGTGTCTCCCAGGCTGGGGCACCACCACCTCTCTGGGCAGCCTGTGCCAGTGCCTCACTGCACTTATGGTTGGAGTTTGGAGAAAGTTCCTGTGTCCTGGTAGTCCTTGTCTCCTAGTATGTCCTCCTGTAGTTGGGATGCTTCAGTACATCTACGTCTGCTGGGATTTGGGTTAAGGTCTCGGAGGTGCAGTGGGGTATCCCTCTTTGCTTACTGCTGCTGGTGTTGTTACAGTAAACAGCTTGGTCTGATGATTTGCTCTCAGGGAGTTGCTTTTGTTAATTAATCCCCCCAAAAAGAAAGAGAACATGATATCAGCTGGGACCCGGCTACGTCTGACACCTTCATCCTCCTGCTGCTTGGCCAACCTGTCTGGTAAGCATGTTTGATGCCTCTGTCTCAAGGTGTGATGGATAATTAGTGCTCACCTGCTGCCAGGTGCTGGGTTCTGAGCACATCCTTTGCTGCCCAGCACTGCTCCAGCAGCCAACCCTTCCTGGCAAATAGGTTCCCTCTCTGTGCGTGTGATGTGTTTCTCTCTTTGGCGCTGCTTGCTCAGCCCATTTCGTCGGCATGTTTGCTCTGGTTCCCTGACCTGCGCTCACAGCTCAGCATCCTCCCACTCTCTCCTTTGCCCCTGCATCTCCGGGAGCCTGCAATATTTGAACAAGAACTCAATTAATTTTCATTGTCAGTGCCTGTAATTAAATGTGAGGAATGTGTTTTCCTGCACTTCTCCCCAGTTTCTCTTCCTCATCTTGTTCTCGTCTCCCTGCCCCTCTCCCTCTCTTCTATCGCATTGGGTCTCGCAGATTTTGGAAATTCAGAACCATCTGCTTCATGCCGATGGGAAGATACCGTATCACAGGCAAAGCAGGCAGGCCCTCAGAGCCGTGGTGTTAATTAATGGTAATCCCTTAATCACAGGGTTATGCCAGAGACCTTATTGTCCAGTTTGTCCTCTCCTGAGCGATGTCAGACCCATAACTGCAAAATTGACTGCCCAGCACCCAGAAAGGCACCAGAGATGATTTTGCCTCTATTACGTGTATTTGAATAACTAGGTATTATGATGCATTTTTCCCCCTCTCTATTATGGCTTCCACAATCTGGAGAAATCACCCTTGCTGCAAACACAACAAAATATTCTGAAACTTGGCGGTAGAGTTTGCTGGGTGTGTTTTCTTCCCTCCTGCCCTTCCCCCTGGCATCCACATTTTTATTCAGAGAGGAGGCTGAGCGCTGAAAAGCCCCATTTCACTTGGACAACTTATCATGTTTGATCTGGAATTGTCCTGAACGCTTTCATCCAGTCGATCAAAACTGTTTGGCTCTCAGCTACTCAACAGAATTTTTTTTAATTTTTTTTTTTTATTTTTTTACATTTTGTGTATGTCTGTTCTTCAACAGCATCAAGTAGTAACTGAGGAAAACATCAAGATCACATAACTCCCACAGAAAATTGCATTTTGATGAACGAAGCCATTTTTTCTTTCCCCCGACTGGTAGTTTGAATTAAAAAAAGACTACTGAGTAGCCATGCCTCTGGTGTCTGTGTTTCCTTTCAGGGAAGCACCTGTGCTCATATAGTACAATTGGGCTGCAAGCATTAAGGTCACCACAACCCAACACCATCCTTTCCCTCCATTATCCCATCAGCACACACTGAGCTTTCAAAGGCAGCAACCCAACAGGAATGGCAATGTTTTGATGGCCTACATTTCATCTGAGTCACTTCTGCTGTGCCTTTCTTCCCATTAATGTGCTCCATTTGTGTTACGTTGCCTGGCTTTGCATTTCCCATTGTGGCTCAGCCTTGGGCTGAGGCCAGCACGAAGAGCATCCGAGCTCCAGAAGGAGCCTATTGGTGTCTTCTGCTGGCTGGTCTCCAGGGGAGGATGTTACTCCTGGATCACATTGACCCAGATATTCAGAAGGCCAGGAGATCTGCCCAGCATGGATCCTCACAGAGGAGATGTTGGCTGGAAGCATCTTGCTGTGTGTGTAGCAACAGCTGTAACCCCTCATGTGGAAGAGAAAACAGTGGAGGAGCAGAGGTGCTCCGGTATGTGCTGATGCAGCATGTGTAGTAGCTGTGATGTGGATGAAACCTCAACTGTATTTAGCCTTAGTTTCGCATTACTTTGGATGGGTGAACTGGAAAGGGAAAGAAACGAAAGGGGAGTCACAGATGCATAAAAATTAGAGATGGAAAGGACCTGGGTCACCCACTCAATACTTTCCTGCCGCAGGATGATTGTTCCTGGACGGAAAGCTCTGCTCAGAGTTATGGCTGGGAATACATTAACCTTTAAAACAATAGCATTAGAATGTTACTTATTTTCTTTAACCTAGGTGCTACATTCCTGGTAAATGTGAAGCGTAGGTTGTGTCTGAGCAGAGCTCCCCCAGGAGGAGTTCTGGGGGCTTTTCGGGGGCAGGAGAGCTGAGCCTGCTGTGGCTAAGGTGCAAGCAGCATGAAGCCGGAGCAAAGCTGGCCAGCTGTGCTGCATCCTTCCCTGCCAGTCCTGTTCTCTGTTCCACCCATAGCAGCCACGGCTTGAGCTGCAGGAATAGCTCATCATGGTACAAGGAGAGGAGAAGTGTTGCTGTGTAGACACACTTGTCTTTCTAACCTCCTGTGTACCGTGGCTAAGTGATGCTCTGAAGCTGAATTGCAGGGGTCCTGGGTGATTTTATTTCCTGCTTCTCTGGTTGTTTCCTGGAGGGGAATGATAGGATCATCTCTTCTTGTTTCAAAGCAGGACGTAAAACATCAAGGGGATGCATCTCCTTGAGTTTTGTCAGTGCCCAGGAAGACACCTCAATAGCAGTGATTTGCCTATGGCTTTCAAAGTGGTGCTCTAAAATTTCTATCAGAGTTTCTGTCTATGCTTCACGTGCAAGGAAATGGGAACACTGAATGAGAGGAGCTTCTTCTGGTGCCTTATCTAAAAACATTGCTGCCCTTCTGACCCCAGCTGCAGACTTTAGGGGCTGAGATGCAAGTGACCCTACTATTGTCCGTTCTTATGTGTTACTTTGTTGCCACTATTTTTTTGCTTCCCATTTGGACTGTTGTCTGCTGCTTTTCCAAGCTGTTCAGCAAGATGCAACACAAAGACACAGAGAGATGTATTGTTATTATTGGTGGTTGTTGTTCCCAAGCCTTTATTGATTTTTATGAAAGAAATAATAACAATGTGCAGGAGGTGTCCAGCTAACAAAAGAGGTCCTGCGGTACTCATCTTGAATTAAATATATAGAAGCAGAATCCAACTGGGATATTGACAGGCAAATACAAAGTGTTGCAATTCAGCGTAGTGCTGGAGTGAAAGTGGGACTTTGCCTTGCTGCAGCCTGCCTTGGAGAGGAGAGACAGCATTGTCCTTCCCCACTGCTTGGCAAGAAACATGTCCAGAATGCCTTCACCCAAGGCCAGAAATAAGCATGTCATCAGCAGGAGGGAGCTGGCACCCAACACCAATTTTGCCATAATGTGTGGGGAACTGAGATGCCTCCATTGAAGAAGGAGTGTGATTTGAGCCCATCCCTTTGTAACGCGAAATGGTAACTCAGTCAATCTATCATATCTGGACTTGATGGGTGGGTGAGCAGATTATTTCTCCAGACCGTTTCTGATGGTTGTTTTTTGCTTGACTGGGTTTTTGGTGTACATCAGCTCAGCACAAAGGAAGGAAAGCAAAGCCCGTTCTTTGTGGTTGGTTTTCTTACCAGTTTCGCTCACCAACTCAATGGGTTGGTATGCCCCAAGTAGGAAAGGATGTGAGGAATGCTCTGACATGGCAACCACCCTGAACTTCATCCCCTTAACTCATTTCTAACAGGGATCTGCAAAGGTTCATTCTCTCTTCTCTACCCTTAATTTTGCATTTTCTCCTGTGTGGATGTAGCCTCCAATATAGAGTATTTGCTGTGGGAGCGGGAGTGTCCTGAAATGACACAAAATGTCACTGTGTTCCTCATGGGTCTGTTGCCTGATTCTGTCTGTAGCAAGACTCACACAAGGTTCAGGTAATCCTGCAATGTCAGAATTTGTCTCTCCCTTGACTTTACAAGGAATTCCTGAGCATAATATTGAATCACAACCATATCGCTGCTCTTAAATCATTTCCTCTAGCAAAACATCACTCCACAGAGGAAGTCCTTTCAGTGGAGACAAAAATGAAAGCATTTATCGGTTTGAAAAGATCCCTCTGTGTGCCAGAATCAGTGAGAGAGAACGGAAGTGTTAGTGCCTCTGGCGATGCCGTCGCGAGGCTGTTTGTCATCCCAGCACAAGAAGAAGCTGAGCACACACAAATATTAAACTAATATTTTTGGTGCTTGGTGAGTTTTGATCGTCAGTTCCTGGTGCCTGAGGCAGCAAACGGGAATGAGGTGCAGTATCCTTAAGCTTTGTATTCATGGCTGAATTGACACTCCTTTTATATTAGTATAAAAGGAGTACATATAAGTATGTATGACTCTTATTATTGGTATTTATCTCTAGTGTGAGAGAGATGCTAATGATAGCTGGTAGCAGTACCCACCCAAGACTGCGTAGTGAGAAAGTAGAAGAGCACAATAAACCAGCTTTGGTCCACGAGATGCTGCCTACACTGAAGAGATGATGTGGCAATTTTTTCCTCAAATGTGAATGGAGAGACAGCTGAGGTCACATGGGAATCCTCATCTTCCAGATCTTCCCATTTCAGTGCCAAAATCCTTCTTACAGAGGTATAGGACAGAAAAACCCACTGGAGAAACTGAAGCTGGTTAATCCTCAGAATGTCGAGGCTAGAGCTGAGACTTCTGCCCAACATGGGATGGAAGCCTGTCCTCCCTCTAGATCTGCTCTCAATTAGTGCCCTCAGACTTGACTTGGAGGAGGCAGGGCATTTTTCTTGGAAGGAGGAAAAGGAAAATAAAGGAGGCTGTCAACCCCGTGACCCTGCTGAACAGCCGAGACCACCCCTTGTGCTCCAAATAGCCATGCTGTTGGCTGAGGTGTACTTTGTGGAGAGTGTACCAATTATGTGGGCTTTTTCAGCATCCGGGAGCAGTGTGAGCTGTTATTTTCTTGAGAGAGTGAGGAAGAGGCTGAGTGGTACAGGAGGTTACAGAGAGTATCTCAAGGAAACTGCAGTTAACCCAAAGTTAAATTTAACTCCTTGAGAATATTGGGAGCCAAAGTTGAGTGTTGCATACGGAGGGAGGACATGAGAATGGGCACCCGCCCAGCTCGATGCATGTGTCTCCATGGAGGAAGCTTCTGCAAAGTCAAGCAAGTCCTCAAAGTACTTCATATGTGGAGCCTGGGACAGAGATGAGCTGAATGATAAGGAGGAGAAAGGACGAGAAGTTCTGTCTCTCCCTCTCTTCTAGCCATCTTTGAGGGTGACTCATCCTCCCCAAATTCCTGGCAGTTTCTCTCAGTGACCAGCAGCTCTATCTTGCCTTGCTGACTCATAACTGCTGGAAGCTTCTCTGGGTTCAGAGTAGGAAAATGTATTGTCTTGGCTTTGATCTCACATGAAGTTGTTTTATGGGGGCAAGGAGCAGCCCAGTAGAGGGAGGGACAGTAGTAAGAAAAGTTGCAAGGAGGGTGAGATAAAGGTGAAGGAAAAGGAGGTAAAATTCAAGAAAGAAAATGCATATTTGGATTTTGAGTGACAGGGGAAAGTATTTAGCTGATCTGAAGCCAAACAAATGAACAGCTTGATGAATGATGCAAACCTATGCACTGTGGTTGATTTTTTTTTTTATTGCAGCAGTGATATTAGTAATAAAATTAATACCAGTAGTTAGCTAGGGCTAATAACGGTACAGATTGGATTGGATTAGATTGATATTACTTCTAATAATCTGCTATTGTTGCTATTGCATGGTAAGAAGAGAGATACAGTGCCTTTTCATTAAAACAAGGTCCCAGCACTTTTGTTCAATCATAGACACAGCCGGAGATGACTAGTGTGTACCCCAGCAATTAAATCTGTCCTGAAGGCTCTTTCTAAATGAAAAAAAAAGAGAATCCATTGCTTTCTTGAAGCTGTTTCTGGAATAATTAAATGGGATAACTCAAAGGTCATAACACAAATGCTTTCTCTGTCATTGGGTGAGTTTGCTGTACTGACCTTGACTCTTGTTGACTTGTGCATGCGTTCCCAAGCTACTAGCTCAGAGAAACCAGCTACGTGCTCATAGCAGGTAGTGTCCAGGGGGCTGGGTAGGGGCAGTCCCTGCATTGCGACAGTGAGGAGAGGGGACCTGGGAGGATCTAGTTGAGTTTTCAGGGAAGAGCTGCCCTGCAGGCTCAGCTGGGGAGCATACAATGAGAGCTGCTGGTTTGGGGAGGCAGCTGTTGGAGCAGCAGGGCGGTTTCCTGCCCTGAGAATATTCAGGGACTGTGGAGAGTCCTGCTGAATGCTCCCATTGGAAAATCAGTGCAAAAAAAACCACCAAACAACCCAAGTCATGCTGCCACTCTTCATGCTCCTAAATGCCAGCAGCTTCAGCTTTGAATCGTGCAAAAGCTACTGAATGGACTCTGTGGTAATTTTTGAAGTTCTGACATAGAGTTTCCTGCTGGGACATCCCCAGAGTCTTCTGGGCAGTCCTGCTGGGAGCCCCGCACAGAAGTGCTGCCTTTCATGAGCTGGGCCAGGCTAAGGGTCACCATGTCCCAGCCCAACATGCCCAGCAGCTCACCTCAGCAACCTTCCCAGTCAGCTTATGGCCCCAACCAGTGAGCATTTGCAAAAACATCAGCTAAGAGAAAACAGCATCTTTAGAAGGAAAAGACTCACCGGATTTTATTGAATTTGTTCCAAGCAGTTCTACATTCAATCACCCAGAAACTGTCTCCCTGCAGGCAACAATATCTCTTACTAACGAGTATTTGCTGTTTGAAATAGCCTGTCTTGTACTTCACAAGTTCTGCTCTGCACCTGCCCTGCGCCAGGGCTCCTTCCTGCCTCTCAGAAAGAAGGCTGGAGCTCTGTTTGCATGTGGATGTAGGATTGTTGCAGACAGCCTTGTCTTGCACAACGCCTGCTGGCAGACAGAGTAGGTGATGATGCTGCTGCTGAACCACAGGTACTCCCCTTTCCACCTGTGCCCCATGCAGCATCTCCTCAATGTGTGTCTTGCATTCATCTGCAAGAGTTCATTAGCAGGCTAATCTGGTGAGCAGAAAGAAAGGGGTGGGGGAAGGAAGTGCAGGGTGTTAATATCCCAAAGCATCACCTGCCTTTGCCCATCCTACCAAAGCTGGGTGCAGGCTGTTCAGAAAGCATCTCCATGGGCATCCAGCCCTGATTCTCCAGGAGGGGTATAACCAACCCACAATATAAGGACAGGCATCCCCTCCCTCACACCCACGTCTACTGCTTGGGGGCTGCCAATTTGTAGCGCATCCAGTCTCAAAATAAAAAGGCAGATGGTTGACATCAGCATCCATTACTGTCCAAAAAGGCCACTGGGAGGAAGAAGGGATTGGAGAGGGAAGGAGAAGAAGAGAGAAAGGAAGAAGGAGAAGCACCCTGCTGTGGTCCCCAGAAGTGGTAAGTGCATACTGTGCCAGGCAGGCATCACCTGAGCAAGTTGCTGAAGCTTCCCTATGATGCTGGAACATAAAATTGTCCTTTTCTCCCCCACCTGGTTCCCTGCTGGTCTCCTTGGGTCTTTCCTCTCCCCAAAAATCCCCTCTAGCATGGACAGGGCTCTGTGCGCTCTTCAAAGTCTAACCATACGTGTTTTCTATGCTTCTGGAGTCTAATTGAGATGAATTATCAGTCCAGAACCTTATCTCACATAAACAACTCCACAAAAGCTGCTGGATTTTAGAACACTGGGAAGTGGGAGCTGTTCCTTGTTGGGCTTCCTGGGGAAAGCATGGCCAGCATCTTCCTCCCAGTGGAGCACCAGTTCTGCAGTGAGCTTTGTTGATGCTGCTCTTACCATCCTGTGTATCAGATTTGCCCGTGCCTTCCCTTCTCTGCAGATCTTAATACCATGCTCCTCACCCAGCTGTGTCCCATCTGTAGAGCACTCCTTAGGATGGGTGGGAGGTGCTGTTCCCATATGGCCTCTTTGGTATGGGTCTGGTGCCACAAGTGCATGCTGGATATGGCCACTGCTGGGACAGAGTCCCTCTAGCACCCAGATGCCCTAACAGAGAGTGCTGGGAAGGACTGAGGAGCTCTGCAGACGGAGTGACAGATGGAGAGAGGTGCAGCCTCAGAGCTCTGCATGCTGTCTCTTCTTAAAATGCCAGCAATGTCTTGTCGTTATCAGCTAATGCCCTCTAATGGGTCCATTAAACAGCTCTGGCTTCACTCATGATCAGACAGTACTACCTTTGCTTGCTGCTAAGGTTCTATCCTCTGCCCCTGTGTGTGCCTGCACCGAACCCTCTGCTAACTCTCTGGAGGAATAGGGATTGGGGTGATCCAAAATCAACTGCTTTTCACCCAGTACATGGCTGGCTTTCTTGGGAGTTTGGGGAAATTTTTAATAGTGCTGATTATTGATAATATGTCACTGGGAATTTCCTTAGCTCTGCATAGCACAGGTGCTAAAAATACAAGGTCCTGCTCTCCAGGGTGTTGGGGAATGTGGAGGGAAAGCAAAATCTGAGGGGTGATGAAGGCATGGAGAAATGCTGGGCATGGCCAACCAAGAACGGGGTTAGCATGGGGCCAGGTGAGGCCAACCTTTAAGAGGTTAGAATGGGACTGGCTGAGGCTCCTGGAGGGCCCAAAGAAGAGAAGGGAGAAAAACTGGGGCTTGCTTCAAGCTCAGGGTCTGTGCTAAAGGGGGGATGGAACATCATGATTTTGAGATTTACCACTGGAACTTAGGGATAATTCATCCTCTTTCTCCCCGGAGATGGGCAGAGCAAAGCCCTGTGGGATCAGTGGTAGATGCTGATTTTGGGTGGTCACAGGAAAGCTAAAGGCAGGCGTGGATGAGAGATGGTGATACGCGTGCACCAGTCCATGGGATATTTGTAGTGAGAGACAATGACGGAAAGAGCCCTTGAGGCAATACAGCCCACTCTGCAAACTTAGCAAGCGCTTTGCTTTGCCGTGTGATGCGTCAGCTTCATTCCTAATGACCTGCACCGTGGCAGGCGGGCCTTCGTCTTCTCCTTCTCGTGCTGGGCTGTGTGCTTCTGGAGGTTTGTTTCCTTTATGCTGTGCTGCTGTAATGTCACGCCAAGCTGCTAAGCCCAGCTGCAGTTCTGACAGATGATGTACCAGTTCCCTCTGCTTTAAAGCTGACATTTTCATGAGCACTAAACGTGCACGCTTACACATTCTGAAAGGGAAAAGAAGCCTCTGCTCTCTTCTTTTTCCAATTTTTTTTTTTTTTTTTCCTTAGCTTCATTTTGGAGTGGATGAAAGATGCTAGGTTAATAACCCTGGAAACTGGAGCCCCCTATCTGCTGAATGTGTGTGGTGGGGAATGCCCACCAGCAGCATCTCTCTTCATGGTGGGGATAGATGGGGAGCAATGATCTCGTAGAGCAATGTGCTTGGAGTCCAGTAATATGGATGGGGAAAAAAAGAGGAAGAAATCTGAAAGTGTCATCCCTTGCTGATGTTCTACGTGCTTTTAGGCTGTGGTGGAAGAAGCCAAGGTGAATTTTTCCTTCTATGTTAATGGAGTAGGATCAAGATATTTATCTTAGAGGAAATGCCAGGAAAAGGTCGGTTGTGTTTAGAAAAGGCAAAAAGGTACAAGAAATAGTGCTTCCTGCTGCCTTTGCTCCTGCCCTGAGGCGAGGGAGCAGATCTGGCGACCTTCATGCTCAGCATCCCCGTGCATCCTCTCCTCTGCTGGAACTGATGCAATCCCAGGCTCCACACAGGATCTTGTGCTGGAGGAGGCTGTGGGGTCTGTGGATATCAGGTCAGTCCAATATTAGACTGGGAGCATTATGGATCCTTTTTGTTGTATTTTAGTACTTGTAGGAAATACGTTTGTTTGGGAGATCTGAACAGAAGTGGCAACAGATGCACCGGGTAATAAAAACGTGAAAGCCACTGTTGTGCTTTCAGGAGGGGAACAGAGAGGAGAAAAACTGCAGGCAGCAGAGATAAACACAGGTGGAATTACGGAAAGGCGACATTTAATAGTTCACTAATCACGTTCTCATTTCCAAGGTACGATACCCCTAGCACTGAGTTAAATATAGCATCTCTTTACTTGGTTCCTCTTTAGAAAACACAACAGCCACCTGCCACCAGCAACAAATTTTGCTGGCTGAGCACGTGGGTTGGGACCAGTCCTGCTGCTCTGGATCCACCCCTAAACCATCACCAGTGAACCTGCTGCTTTTTCTGCCCCGTTGGGGCTCAGTGTGTTCCAATGGTTTGCGTGAGATGCGATGAAGGAGAGGAACAATGCTTTAACGCGAATACATTGGGCAGCATTTGCAACATTTGCCCAGAGGACGTTTGTTCCCAGTACTGCTATTTTGGTGGTGGCTCTTCACGATGATTAATTTAAAGTGCCAGCATCGGGAATCATGGGAATGTACGAGAAACTCAGTTTTTCTTTTAAAATAGAAGTAAGTTTTTCTTTTAAAATAGAAGTAAGTTTTCTTCCTGATGCTGCAAAGAAACTATGGAAAGGTCATCCTTAAAGGCAGGCAGACCCCCCTTTGCTTCTCATCCAATCTTCAACTTTCCATTTGCTTTCTTAATTTGGAGAAACCCTCTCGTTGGGAGTGCACCATATGGCTGCAGATCCCCGGAATGGAAAAGCCGATGTCGTCCAACCTTTTGCAGCAGATGTTCCCATTCCCCACAGCCAGGGTGCTCCGTACCATCACGCATATCACACTGAGGGCTTACTTTCCCCTTGCTCCAGGAGCCATCCTTTGGGTCTCACCTCCCATGGGCTTATCATTGCCAAATGTTCTGCATCACCTTGTTTTAACCAGTGGGTGAGATACTCTCCAGTTTATTGTTTTGACACGAGGGTTGCATGCCTCTTGTCAGTCACGCATCATCTTGTGTGCACCCATGTGTGGCAAGCTCTTGTGCAGACACCCAGCCTGCAGTGAGCGAAGGGCTCACCATTATTTACCAGGAAAGGAAAAAAAAATACGGCATTTATATAAAACATATTAATAATTTCGTCCTTTCCCTCCACATTTCCCAAATTGATTTTTGAACTGCTAGCAGTTGTATTGCAATAAATATAGTTGAAATCCATTGCACATAATGGTTTATAAATTGTGAGTCATAATTCAGCGGGAGCTCTGGGTTTGGGTTGCTGGCCACCGCCGGTGCGCTCCCGCGAGCGCTTTCCTTCCTCCAGCCTCTGAGCCTGCACAACTCTCCAGTGGAGTAATAAATTGGGAATAATAGAAGCTCGGCTAACTACATTTCACTTGTCAGTTTGAAGATTCCATGCTGTGTGTTAAGTTCTTGCAAATAGTCTGTGTTAAAAAAAATAAACTAACCCGCAGCTCCCTGCTACCAGCTCCAATTTGCCACTCCCAACAACAGCATCTCACTATCACCACCTGAAAACAGCTCTGCGTGGCACTAGGAATGAGGTGCTGGTCCCACCTCCTCAAAGTTTGATGTTGGAGAAGATGATGTATTTAGGCAGAAGGAGCATCTGCCAGCAGGGCAGAAGATGCAGAAAGTCTCAGGACACATTTGCGCATCCAAGAAGGGTGAGTACCCTGCAGCCCAGGGGTAAGCATCCCTCCTCTATCCCTCCCTCCCCAAAATGCAGCAGCAAAGCCACAGAATAATCCCCCTTGGGCAAAGAGAGAGAGCCAGAGCTCAGGGCTGTGGCCAGGCAGGAAAATCCATATCTGCTACAGATTTATTATCTGTTGCGCAAGATGCAGCACAGATATTTTTAAAACGTGGGCCCATTAAACTCTCCAAGTGGCTGGCTCACCTGCTATTTTAACAATGCGTTGTGACACCAGCTCTTTTATGGGTATTCCTCCTGGACTTGTTAACTCTAAGCTGTCGCATCCCATTTTCAGGGAGGAAAATTCCATAGAGGTGACCATGCTGGTCACACTGAAGTGGCTTAATGAGTTTTTATGGGTACACAAGTCCAGAAATTTGGAGTGGTAAAATGGATAGCTTAGGAATGGTGGAGGGCAATTGCTATTCATCTCCATGAATGAGTGGCTGGAGGAGTCCTCCAGGATGGAGCACGACACATTTCAGCAAATAGAACCCAAATGAGCCAGGTTTGGAGGTATGACAGCATTTAACCCTTTGCAGTGCCTGTATGGAGGTGGTGCAGAGGTTGGAGTGGATACAGGCTTTGGGACAAGAGCATGCTGCCTAAAAGAAGCATCTCAGAGCCCATATGGAATCAACTGAGCACTGAGGGATGGCTAAAGCAGCTCCTATAGAATGGCCATGAGGGTGAGTGCACAGTGCAGGTGACTTGTCTACACATTCCCGGAGTTGTATTGAGAATGATATAAAATGGAGGGCTTGGTGCAAGGGTGAATTCCTCTATTGGATCTGAAAGGCTCACATTGCCACTGATGATGGCAAGGATTCTGTCTTCCTATGTTATTTTCATGCTAAGGTCCTGGCCAGCAGAGCCGTGCAAGCACCTTCTAGTTTTCACTTTTAGGAAGGAAAAAGGAAATCTTGGGCCAAATTCCTAGCAGAGCATCCTGCTCTCTCACTACCTCACTCCCTTCTTTATGTTACAACAGCAGCAGAGATTTGCCTGGAAAAACTGCAGAAGTAGCCAAGAAGAATAAACACAACTGCCTGGCAGAGATAATCAGTTGTTAAAACACTCCTACTGCGCTAAAAAGTAATTAAATGAAATTGGGTTTAAACTGGAATTAACCAGAGTCAGTCCCGTCCCCCCCCCCCCATCCTGTCCATCTACCAATTGCTCCCAGTCCTTCTGGACAAATGTGATGGGAGAAAAACAGCAAACTCCTCCCATCCCCATCCCCTGGAGCCCCCTGAGCCCGCAGCCTTGCAACCCTCCCAGGCATTACAAGACTGGGAGCCTAGTTTTCCAGAAAGATGCTATGGGGGGTCTTTCACCAGCATGTTGGAAGCCTTTGTGGAGGTTCTGTGCCTCCTGATCTGTCCTTGAAACACTTGTCCCTCTGAGTGGCTGGGAAGTCGTTCTGGGTATTCTACCCATGGCCAGAGATTGCCAGGACACTAACAGCTCTTAAAAGCAGGTTGAATGAGACACTGACAGCGTTTTTATTAAGGATATTATCATGAGTGGTGATGACAGGGACTGCAGGAGCAGTGAGATCAGGGTCACATATGGGGAATGTGAGCCCGAAGTCCCAGCAGGAAGGCCCAATCCAAATAGCAGCTTGCATTGCTGATTTTTGTTCCTGCTGACTATTCTGGGTACATGTACTGAAGTCAATATTTGCAGATACTTGCCCATTTCAGTGCTTCTGGTGAGTTCCACCTCATGCCATTGCTCTCAGGTCTGAACACCCAGGGCAGAACCAGCCATCCAAATTTTCCAAATGGCTCCATCTCTGTTGAGGCACCAGGGGATGAGTGTATTTGAAAATTCGGCTGTCCCTTCCCATGCTCATCCTCCCAGCATCTCCTCTCCACTGGCCTTGGCATCTTTGCGTCTCCTCATGTCAAAGTGGCACCCACGTGTCCACCACCTATCCATATGTACCACTGGGCCACGTAGTGAGTGTTGACACCTCTCTGGCTTTGCCTTGGGATTGCATTCCTGTGGATGCCAGCCCTCTGCCCAGCTGCTGTGACACGCTCTGCTCAGACTGCTGCCGATAAATGGGCAAATTGCCGGATGGCTGGAAACGGCGAGCACTGCGTCCCCTGTAATTTGTACCGCCACACAGCTGTTTGTGGAAGTGAAATACAATCAATGGATCAGACCAGAAGGCTCCAATTTAATCTCTGCAAACACTGAAGAGTCAGGATTTTCTCTTGTTACTTTTTTTTCAATGCCACCAAAGCCCAAGCCCATCAGGCTCAGACAAAATCTTTGAGCAATTTCCTACCTTTGCACTTTTTATTTGTTTCCTTCTTTATGATGGAGCTCTCTCCTCATTCGGAGGGTCAGTGAATGTCTCCTGTTATCTGCCTCTGATGGAAGTGCTGTTCTGCTGGTTGATGAGCAGCATGACCAAAGGTGGCCCATCCATCACCTCACTCACCCAGCCATCCTGCATCCCTTTGCTGATTTCTGCCTTTTCTTCCTCTCGTAACTATGTTATGGCTCTGATCTCCTTAATTCAAGACCAAGAAACCTCCGCTTGTCCCTCTTGCCCTCATCTGCCAAGCTGGGGGATTGACTGGGACTATGCTCTTTGCTCTGAGCACTTCTGAATCTATCTGGCTCAGTCTGAGTCCAGGGCAACCTGCAGCCAACTCTGCATTCCAAGGAGGCGCCACTCACCTGCAGGCTGTGCTCTCCAGTATGTGCAGATGCAGAAAAATCTACCACGAAACAGCTGTGAGATTGCCAGTCTTCACAGTTCTGTGTTCTTCTTGTTTCTGAGTGTTTTCACCTGTCACAATGAGTTGGCAGTTCTTTTGTTTTCTTTATGACCACCAGTCATGTTGATCTCTCACCATATGTCTTTGGGCCTGAGCTCAGTACCCGAAGCTGATCACAGCACTGGCTTCTTTTATAGTGATTTTACTGATTCAGAGCCTCAAAGAGGCAAAAGTTTACTTTACAGCTGTCTGTAAAGCTTCCCCCATCATTCTTGGGAACTTGGGGTGCCTGCATGGGCCCCAGGAATGCTTGGCTTTGCTGCTGTGTGAGGCACAGCACAAGGTCAGCCTGGCATTGCAGACGCTGCTAGGTTACAGAGATAATAATTCATGTCTCTACCAGCAGGTCACATATGAAATTAATGAATGGCTTCTAAAAACTTTGCAGGCTTCCTTTTATTAATATATTTGGGACTCCTCTTTTGCCCAGCAGGTGTCTGGGCACAATTAGGTCATGCTTATCCAACCCAGAAAACACAAAACTTTCCCCATCCCATCACCCCACAGCCATGGCATTATGCTTTCATAGAGGGTGCGGGCAAGATTCTGGGGGGCCTGGGGAGGTTTTGGATGCTGCCAGGCTGGACTGGCTGAGAAGGGAAAAAGCAGCCTGTCCTCTTCTAACGCAAAAGCCCTCCTCTCCTCAAAAGAAATAAAAGCCAGAGTGAAATGAAAGTAAATGCCAGAGGTTTAAGTACCATGCTACCGAGTGTGCTTTAAAGGTTACCTTTCAGGGGGTTGAGGAGAGAGCGAGTGACAGAGAGGGAAGGAGCAGGAGCGCTTCCCATTGCAAGGGCCACTCCAGCGCTTAATGGATTTTATACCCCTGTCTGCTTCCTCTGACATTATTAAAACTGTTTTTTCTTAATTTCCCCCCATCCCTTCATCTGGGACAAGGGACAAACTGTCACCATGGCAATACCCCGTGTGAATGTGTATCACCAAATGGGAGCAAGGAGGAAGATTTGGGGTAGTTTTAAAGCAGAAGGGAAGGAGCTGCAGCTGGGGGCACAGGTGTGTGTGCGAGGGGCACAAACTCTTCCAGAACAGGGCTAGGAATTTCCTCTCTGTGCACCACGGCCAGGTGTCAGATGGCCAAAAAGGATGGGTTGAATGAAGAGGGATGCACAGTACCAGAAAGACAAGCCCCCGTAGGCAGGGGCAGGGCTCTGTGCCATGTGCTATGTATGCATATATTTATGTTTGGGGTTAGCTTTGTTTGCCCTCCCCAGCATGGTACCCCAGAGATGCAAGGCCGTGCATGATGCCTGAAGCAATGGCTTAATGCTGAAGATGCTTGATTAGGACTCTATTGGGTTGGTTGATAATGCCACAACAATGGGGGGGACAAAATGAAAGCGAGACAGAGATGGAGATTTAATTGGGTAATTCTCACTGAAGCATCTCTGGCTTAACCAGCCAGAACCCCACCTGCATCTTTCCATTAGTTCTCATGTTAACAAGGTCTGCATTCTATCAGGCGGATGGCGGAGTGTGAGGGGCAATTAGAACTGGCATCACTACTTCCATTCATCCCCAGGAAGCAAAGCACTGCTCTTTAGTGAGCACCTAATTGTAGGTACGGATGGCTTTAGAGCTATTGCAAGCAGCCTTATTTTGCCTTTTGCCCTGCTTATTTTGCCTTTTGCTATAAGTAATAGCAAGGAGCAGGGTGTTGGGAGCAGAATGGAGCAAACAGGGCAACCTAAAACATCCAGGCTGTTTTACTTTTACCCCATGAATCATCCAAAACAACCTGAATGGATGAATTCCTTTCTCCCAAGGCTGGGCTGAGCATGGGCATTGATCTGAGTGGTAAAGACCTACAAGAGTCATGGACAAATGCTAAACGTAACACACAGTGATATATATGTGTATCACTAGCAATTTCTGGCATTCTTCCCATCCCAGACAACCTAACCTTCAGTTGGTTGAGCTCTGTCCTGCACTGTGAGCAGTGGCTGGTACAAAAGCAGCCAGGCTGTCCTTGGAAGCACCAAGACGTCCCCCAAGTTTCACTCCGAGTGTTTTATTTATGTCCAAGGCCCTGTGCTGGTCTCTGGGAGGTTTTCAGAGCCCTGCCCTCTGCTCTGACCATCAGCAAACATGTTCTGAAAGATGTCACTCTGCGGGGAAGTGGGGCATAAATGTGTCTGTCTGAAAGGCCATGGGATCAGGCTGGGGGAAGCAGATGTCGGGGAGGTGGAGGAAGGTCTCAGGTTCTGCCAGCTCCAGCATCAATAACACTCCTAGCAGGGAGCAGAGGCTTGCGGATGAGCTGAGCTGAGGCCACCCCTGCCACAGAACCCCTACGCCTGGACGTTTTTCATGTTGGGAGAATCTGAATAAGTGTTGGGAGGTGAGGGCTGTCCTGCCCTGGAGCCGTGGGGTGCTCTTGAGGAGGAGGATGGTGCTATCTCACCAGCTCCCTGGCTCAGACTGGAAGGGACCTGTAAAATCACCTGGGTCTCTCAGCCAGATGGAACTTCCAGCCAGATTTCCTAAGGAAACGAAGCCTGTGCGGTCATGCTGTCTGCATGTGAGTTCCTGTCTGGCTGCCAGCACCCATTCCATCCTGGCCAAACCTGTGGCCCAATTTTGGGCAGCCTGGAGAGAACTTGAAGTCTGGGAGGGGACAGGTCCCACAAGCCCCGTGCAGACTCTGGTGAGCATAGGGACCAAATCTATGTCCCGGCAGAGGCACAGCATGGCATCAGGAACACACTGGCATCAGACACCAGAGACTCACCAACACTGCACTGTCTTCACAGGAACCCCATTTCCAAGCATCATCCCCAGCTTGAGGTGACTTTGGCAGTTTGCTGGCCAATGCACCGGAACACCTGCTGCGAGACCCCAGCCCTCTGCCCTGTGCCCTTCCCAGTCCCATCCCCAGCCACTGTTGGCAGGTATATGGCAGGAGGAAGCTCTCTTTGCTTCTGAGCACACCAGAGTTGCTCAGCAGAGGATGTTTGCAGCGCTGGGCAGTGACACACATTGTTAGCGAGGCCAGGCTGAATCAAGAAAAACAAGTGGGATGACACTCAGCGATCAGTAATTCCTCCCCCTCGCTCATAACTCTGTCAGCCCCTTCAGCCGGACTGTCAAAATACGTTTGTCACAGAACAATTCCTACTCTATTTTTTTTTTTTTTCCTCCCCTTTTTCAGACTCTGGCTGAACTCATCCTTTTGGAACAAAACCCAATATTCATTTCCTCTCTGGGCAGTTTATTTTATTATTGGCTCACCTGCTCCCGAGCTTGAAAAGCTATAAGACTAGCTGGGTCTTCAAAATTAAATTCTGTTGGG